AACTCCAGAAATGTAAAGTATCACTCTGTCCTACCGCCATTCCAAGTTTTAACCTGGAATTACTATAGTAACCACAGAAGAACAATAACGAGCATTGTTCTTTCCGTCATGCGACACATGCTGTACAGTATTTGGGTTTCCGGAGTCAGATGGAACTATGAATTCTAAACAATTGAAAAAGGTGAGACTCTTTTTTTTCCCCTGCAGATAGAAATGTCTGTTTTGTGTGTGTGTGCTGTTTAATTTTAAAATTATTACTTGTATGCAACAAGGATCAAGTCACTTAAACAACTGATTCGGAGGTAACTTTATTTTGATGATGTTTGAATCATGTAATGTAAAACAATCAACTGATGAAAGTACAGGGCTAACACAAGTTGAACCAAAAAAAACCCCACAAAATATGATCATTTTTCATGAAATCAATTTTGCAGTACTACATTTAACAAATTAATTTTTTTAATCTTCTGTGTCTGGTTTTTGCTGAATATTTTGGTCTTTAAATTTTGAAAGATGTTATTGAAATTTGTGGGGTTTGCTCAGTTGAATTATTCAGCATTAAGCTGTGGGTAGTAAATGTGAAGTGGGGTTAGCACAAAAAGTCCATTATCAACAAAATTTACTTCTTCTTTTTTTAGGGGGAAGAACAGGAGCAAGGTGGATTTCAACGATTGCACAGCTCTCAAGATTTCGACAGCCCCAGCACTCAGGTATCAAAAAAGAAAGTTTACGGAATAATTGTGAAAATGAAGTCTAGAATTTTAGTGAGAGACCACAACCAAAATTTAAGAATCTTAACTTTTCTGAGTAAAGAAAAGTGGCGTTTTCTAAGAAGTTTTGAATTTTATGAAATTGAATGGTTACTGAACATTTAGGTGATTATCATGCAAATGAGGACTTCTTCCTGATATTTGCTGCACGTGGTTTAAAACGGTTGAACACGAAAGTATTGTTAACTGTCACAAACTATTCTTGTCTCTGAAGTACAATAGGTCACACTGAAGTTGTAATCATGTCCTTCAAGTCAAGCACAAGCCTATCACCAGGCAATCAGAAATTAATCCCAAGTCCATCACAAGCCAATCACAAGTCCATCACAAGTCAATCACAAGTCCATCACAAGTCAATCACAAGTCCATCACAAGCCAATCACAAGTCCATCACAAGCCAATCACAAGTCCATCACAAGCCAATCACAAGCCAATCACAAGTCAACCACAAGTCAACCACAATTCAACCACATGTCAATCACAAGTCAATCACAAGCTCATCACAAGCTAATCACAAGTCCATCACAAGCCAGTCACAAGCTAATCACAAGTCCATCACAAGTCCTTCAGTCTCAAGTCAAGTCACCATCTATACAGCTTTCCGTCGTCATAGCACTCTCCCTGTGACTCGCGGTTCAACTTGTGATGTGACTTTTGATGGTCGTGACTACAACTCTTGATCACAAAGAAAATATTTGGTGACCATTAAGTTTGTTTTTCCGACTTCGTTTAGCCTTTCTCAGACTCAAGCTCCCAGCCAAGAATGACGGTCAGTCTGGATCAGCTAAGCCGCCTGGACCCGACCCCCAAACCCCCCACCGGCCTGAGGAGTTGCCTCAAGAAACCATCGTCTTCGTCAACGACAACATCAGCAAGCACATCAATGAGTTACAACATGGGAGGCCAGTCAAGCATGGCCACCGGTGGCTCTAAAGCCGTTCAGGAAATGTTTGCCAATTTGGTCAGTTTTTGTTGTTTTTCTTTCAAATTCCTTTATTGTTTCTCTTCCTGGCTTTTGAACTTTGTGTAGGAACGGGAGTTGGTGCTGTGTGGTAAGCACTCGGGGAAACTTTTCCTCGGAGTGGCTGATTTTCAAATTTTTCACGTCACAGTTATGCGATTAAAAATAGAAAAACGCTGTTGTTTTATCTTGCAATAGCCGCTTTGAACATACACACAAAAAGTTGATGGAAAATATCAATTCTAATAAATTTGAGGCTAGAGGCCTTACTCAAGACAACTCTTTATTTGCATTTGTTGTCCTCACAAGTTTTCAATTCAGTTTATGTCTGCATTTGTAGGCAGGAGGTTGCGGCCTTTACTCCTAGCATAGCTAGCTTGTAAATTTTTTCTCAAAGTCTCAGACGGCAACGAGTTTTAAGTGCCAATAAATTTCTATCGATGAAGGCTGAACTCAATGTTATTTTTACTTCATCATTTTCTGAGCTGCGTAGCCATTCAAGCAGACTACATTTTGTGTATTAAAATTGGCCACTAAGTTGAACAAATTACCCCGTTTTCTATTATTTTTACCGGATGTTTTCTTTTTTCTTGTGTTTAGTCTCAGTCTATGATCACCAACGAGACTGACGCCCATCTTGCCAAGCAAGTAACGGACACATTGTCTCAAGCCTTGAAAATGTATGAATCTAAGCAAGGAGGAGACGTGAGTATAAAAGCATGGCATTCAAGGCTTTGAAAGTTCTTTGGTTCAGAAAACAGGGTTTGAAATTGTTTAAATATACTGAAAAATGTGGTATTTGATTTGAAATAGTTGAAATATATATTGTTTTATTTGCATCCTTTCTAACAGAATGCAAATACAGAAACTGTATTTTCTGAAAGTATTCTTTAATAGTTTTGATTCAACCAGTTTTATTCATTATTTTTCGCACACTCCCCCCACCCCACATTTCCAAAGTTGGAAATTGCAAACATTTTTAACTCAGTAAAGCCTTTCCTTTCATATACTTAAGAATCCTTTACATTGATGTTATATTTTTGATATAAGTTTACAGGTTCTTACAATTGTTTTTAAATCCTATTCAGAACTTTTTATTATATCATTGTTCATGAATCCCTTTGGCTATTGTGGTTATTTTAATATGTTTTGTCTTACAACTTTTATTGAATGTCAAATCATAATAAACTTCACCACTTTCTTTTTGTCGTATTTTAGTGTCCTTATTTTTTATCAAGTCCCCGTTTTGTTGTTGTTGTAAATTTAGAGCAGCTGTTAAAACCCAAGCCCTTTTGGGTTTTCTCTGAAACACAACGTGGAATTAAAATAGAATCCAGTTGTTTCTGGTGGAACAAAACGTCTTTTGTTCACAGCAGTGATTCACATTGATTGATATTGTAAGGTTAAGGATTTAAATCAAGGTAAAATAATACAGGCACGTGCACAGTGACTGTACTGAATACTTTTTGGAACCCTCCTACTGTTTGAAAAGTCAAAAAAAAGTTTGACAGTCAAAAATTCCAGCCACTATCCCTGCCATGCCTTTTACACAGGCTAGTCACCAACAGTCGGATCATATTTTAGCAAGCACTCAAATTCAGTCAACAGACAAAAGCAGGCAACTGGTAGGCACAGCTGTCTTATCAATCACCTACAGTCAAAGCATAGCTGTATCGAGTTACATAAACAGTCGCAGCCAGTCAATCCTGCTTTATGAAAGCAGGGAGCTCTTAACTGTTGAAAACAGTCATGTGATTGATTTTTGACTGCAAGGACAACTTGGCACAGAATGTATGTTTGCGTAGGAGGGTTACTGTGTACTTTCTTGGTTTTGATGACATAAGAGTACATTTGAACCATGCGTACAGCAGCCAGTGTTAAAGCCTGGCTACTGTACGCAAGTTGAGCGTTATAGTCGAAGTTGTACGTGACATACAATGTTGGATTCCGAGTTTTTATTTTTTAAATTTTGTTGACGCGAGTCAACAAAATGAATTTCAAAAGAAATGGATTTATCTTGTAAAAGATCTCACTTAAAAGTTTTGCATAAGGTGGGTTTTCATTCTTAGAAGATATTTCTTGTTCCACTTGTGCAAGTATAAAGATAGCTTTACATCCACAGTCACTATTCTATATCAATGTATATAGAATGCATGGAAAAAGTTTTGATTAAAAACTTTGTTGTGGCCTATGCCATGAATTGCCGTTCTATTGATGTAACTAAACGATTGCGCATCATTGGCCAATTTTGGTCCAGTTTTGGGGGAATGTTCCCAGAAAAAGAGAGCGAAGGATCCATGGCATGTTCCTTGATGGAATACGGACTTTCCCACTGCTGGGAATGTTCTTTTGAAAGTAGATGTCACTTAAAGTTTGTCACTTTCGGGGAAAGTCACCAAAACTCTGCATATTTTTTCCCCTCAAATGTTGATTTTGTCAAATAAACCACAAAGCAGGATAGAGTTAGCTGATCAAAATTTGAATCCCAAAATAGGGATGAGATCTGTGAGGGCTTTGTCTTTACAACAGGAAACCACCCGAACATAATATCCAAACATCTCTAACTTTCTCTTTTTTGTTGTTGTTGTAACGTTTGTTTCAGAGACCTGAACCTGGTTTTGGAGAGCCACCCAGGAATAGAGGAGCATTGCTTCCACCTCCCGCGGCGCCATTTGGATCTGGCTACAGTAGGATGTAATGATCCTGGGTAGAAGTGGGTACAACTGGGTATAGCTACATTGGGAGATGTAATGAACCTGGGTGTAAGTGGGTACACTGGGTGCATTTTCATTGCAGTGTAATGGGTACAACTGGGTACAGCTATGTGGGAGATGCAATTAACATGGGTGGAAGTGGGTACATGAATGCAAATGGTACAACTGGGTACAGCTACATAGGAATGTCAGATGGAGATCAGATCTAGAGGGAAGTTACTGAAATTTGAAGGAAGAAATGGAACTTTTGACATAGGCATTGGTTTCATATAAATAGATGCATTAAAATTGTAAGTGGGCACACTGAATACAAGAACTGGGTAAAAATGGGTACAGAGTGTTATATCTCAATGCAAAACAATGGGTAGCACTGGGTACATCAGTCTTTGCATGTACATGTATGTACAACCAAGCATCAGGCCTTTTTAAAATACTTTCCGTGTGTAACGAGATTCACCAAATGGCAGCAAGTGTATAGTGACGGGCAGGAACTTCTTTTTAGTGTAATTATTGTCAAGTGATTTTTTGTGAATCGACTTATTTTAGGTTTTTAAGAGTTTCTTACAGGTTGGGGAAAAGTAAAACTACATGTACTGATGTTGAAGGCCAGAATTCTTTTGGTTTCGATTTGTATGTTTGTTTTTATTGGGTGGGGTGGAATTATTGATCTTTTGGTCCAATAATTTTGATAATCAAATAAAATCCAAGCAATTGTTATTTTGACATTAGTAATAGCGAACTAACATTGAACTTGTAAAAAAAAATGGTTTCGTCACATTGTTTCTCTTGTTGAAAAAAAAAAGGAATAAAAGTTGAAAGTTGTGTTTTCAAAATCTAATTATATTTGTGTTGCATTTTAGCTTACTGTAAACTAAACGGAACAAATTTAAAACCTATTCAAGAAAATCTAGTCTGGACAGATCGGAACCCAGAGGACGATAGCAGCCAGCTCAGACCATGGAAAAATAAAGACCTACACACCATACCGTCATCTTTCATTGACAATTTAATTGCACCTTCAGCTCATTAATGAATTTCTTCTACATAATTAAAAAAAATTATGGTCTGCTATTTAACATGAATTTTTCCAGTGGAATGTTCGGTGGACCCCACATCTTAAGCAAAGTTTGCGCAAGATGCAAGTATTACTGGCATCTTTTTGGTCCAAAAAATATTAAGTTACTTTGAAAACAAAAATAGAACATTTTATACAATCATAAAAGTATCCTTATAAGTCCGTAGACTGCAAGACCGAGTCCAGTGCCTCCAAAAATTAACGCTACTCTGATCTTCCAATGAGCATACGACGTCTGGAATTGTCTGTTCAAGTAGTCCACTGCCAACTTGGTGTCCGCGACACTGCCGCAGTTGTCGATTACGTAATCCGCGAGCTTGCGTTTCTCGCGTAGCGGCATCTGGGAGTTGATCCTGGCGAGGGCGTCCTCTCGGCTCAGGTTGCGAGTCGTGAGTCTGTGCAGCTGGGTTTCCTCATCGCTAAAAGAGAAAAATTAATACTCGAGCGTAATTTCAATTTGTACTTCTCCATGCCTTTTCACAACTGACAATCGCTTTGATGGCAACTATTTTATCAGTTTCCAGAACTCACCAGTAAACCACTATAACCTTCCGCAGGAACTTCCGCAGGGCACTGCCTTCCAGTAGCAGAGGAATGTCCATGATGACGTACGGATAACCTACAGAAGCAATTAAATGAAAGGCTTTATTTTAAGAAGAGAAAAATGTTTTGCCTTGTTAGTGATTTCAAGCAATGCTTGCTTTGAATTTGAAGTCCCCCATTGAGAATTAACAAGGTCCAAGAATACATGTACAGTCAACTCTCGTTATAACAAGGTCGATGGGACTAGCCAGATTACCTCTTTATAACAGGAATGTTGTTATAAAAGGACAAAGAAACAAAAAGAGAACCTGAGATTTGGGACCTCAGAATTTGCTCTTTATAAGCAGAACCTCTTTATAAAAGTGCTCTTTATAATGAGACTCAACTGTATCAAGATAAAATGCCTTCATTAACCCTAACCTTCCCAAATCCTCCAAAATCCTTTTTGCAAAATGGAGGATTTTGCAGGATTAAGGCTATATGGCAAAAATGTGTGGCTGATTTTGGAGGATGTACTGTGTCAAGGTCTTGGGCCGGACCTTGTATTGTTTATGCTCAGCCGAACATAAATTTAGCCTATATTCTTGAAATCCTCCGCACTGCTCCAGGATGTCACTGGCTCTGCCTAAACATATTGACAGCGATTGCCGGAGGATTTTGCAGGATTGAGGCAGTGGTCACCCCTCCAAGGACCACATTCAAGAAATATTACGGAGGATTTTCCAGGATTGACTTTGCATCCTAGCCTAAACGCCTAGGGTGTTAGGTTAATTCAATCCAATGTGGAATACAAAATCAGTGGTTGGATTGATGTGGAAAGTAAAAATCTTTTTTCTTATGGTAAAGTGCCTTGCCCATCGACAAATGTGTCTCTTCTAGGATAAAGACCTCAATCGTGGAAACTGAAGTAAGAACAATTCTTGGAACTACCAAAGAGTTAGAAATAAAGTGGCATCTTGGGAGACCAAGATGGAGAGAATCAAAGAAAATTGTGGTTAAGTATCAAGCCCAGGGACACAAATGGATTTAACACTGAAAAAGTAACAAACCTTTGAGGAAGTACTTGAAAACCCTCCACATCATTTCCTTCTGGATGAAGGGATGAGTGCAGGAATTCAAAAGTCGCCTCTTCTCAGCGTCGCCAAAGATGATTCCCCCTAATTTAGGCCTGTCAATGGTACCGTCTTCCTGCAGTATGCCACTGCCAAAGTGTTTAACAATCAGCTTCCAGGAAGGTTTGTTGGGCTCAACCACTGTTCGATAGGTAGAGGAAAAACAAGAGTGGTTATTTTCTCTGAGGGGCAGGATTTAATACCAACAATTGAGAAAAGTATGCTTTCCATTTTTAACATGGTGCTGAAAATGTAAAATTTGCGATTAGCTCACAAAAATTATTGTCGCTATTTATCGAGGCAGTAAAAAACTAAATCTTCCATTCCATCCAATCAACATATTTCTTAGCTTGAGTAACTCCAGCTTAACAAGCTCATCAGGAATTCACATGTGAATTCCTGATAAGCTTGTTAAGCATGTTAAGCTGGAGTTACTCAAGCTACATATTTCTAGACGTATCTGTACCTTCTCGAGCGATCACATCCGCATCGATGATGGGACATCCCAGCTCCTTGAAGAAGTTTGAGACGGTGCTCTTGCCAGACGCGATACCGCCGGTAACGCCAATCAGATACATGATTTGGTGCCGTCTGCAAATAATGTACCAACATCAGCAAATAATGAGAACACAAGCGGCCCCTATGTAGACAGGAGACGTTGCTCCTCTGTGATAAACATATTAATAGACACTTTGAGAGAGCTTTATTAGTATTACAAAAAATTATATTTTTGGTCTTCATTCAATGACAGGTCCAAGTCTTCTAAAACCTGAAAACTAGCTCTCATTCTCATTCTCAATAACTCAAGTATGACATTCTATTCTCAATTTTTGTCAAAGTCATATTAGGCCTACTGGAAGTTATCATACTTACCTTGCTTAATAGCCAACCTAATATCGTGAAATCCCAACCAACAATTTATTCTAATAACCTTTAAAAGATGATTCTCACTTGAAACTTTAAAAAAGCAATGAGCTCAGGCCAGCTAGCTGATATCAACTAATGCCCAAATCATCATGTCATGTGACCAAAATAATGCTCACGTGACCCGAGGCCGATCCTGACCAATCAAATTCATCGTTACAAAGTTGGCGGGTTGTCAAATTTGCTCAAGATGGCGGCGCGCATGGATCACCATCGTCGGAAGAAAGCCTGCGATGTTCGGCCCGCATACAGAGACGGTAGAAGCGAAAAAGCTGTGAAAGTAAGTTGACTTGATGAACATGATATTGAAATGTAATTCTGTTTACTTAAATTCTGAAATTGGTCTCGTAAATTCCGGCCTAAAGCAGAAATTATCTGCCCATTTTCCGGACACACACTATCCAATATGACTTGCAGCAAAAATCAACATTAACAATAACAATTAACATTAACAACATTACAATTTACGGCAAATTTAATAATTTATGCAATTATGTCAACTTAAATGTATCCTTAAAATGTTAAATGAAAATGTTGTTTTACAAAATCAGTACAACTAGGCCTACTCCTAGTAGTACTAGTAGTAGTAGGATGGAACGCCGTATTATCGCGGTACTTATCACGTTTCTCGTTCGGAATAGAGATTGCCCACTAACCTTCCCGAATTGTCCTGTTTCTTAGGTTGTATAATTATTCCTTTTTCAAATTGATATAAAAAAATCCGACAGCGGTGTGGTTTATTAGTCCGTGTACGATGCCTGTGAAAATAGACATACTCGGAGTGTGCAAATGGAGGTGGACTCCCTATTAATTTTATTATCGCGGTATGCGGGAAGTGGTTTTTATAAAGATCTCAACTTTTTTTTCATAGTTAATGTTTTACCAAAAAATCCCCTGAATAAAGTCTTATATTTTCCCTGTTAAAGTTCAAGTTGATTAAAGACTATACGTGTATATCCCTGCTGGATGATTTCTTAAAACCCTGCCTTTCCCCGAAAGGAGAACAAAAATCACTGAGACAAGACTACTGATTGGCGATTGGGGGCGCCATTCACTTTACACGGTGTACCGTTTTATTTTTTCTTACGCGCTGTCCTTATTGTTATTTTGATCCCTTAAAAGTTTTTACGATTTCGCGGTGGAAATATCGTCTTTCGACTTCATTTTGTGTTTCCAGCTGTAGAAGGGGAACCAGACAATGGAACTTTCATGGACAGAGCACCATTAAAGATTTATGTTAAAATATAGACGGTACCTTTTAGCAGACACGGTGAGGGAAAATTTGTAGGTTTTGGAAAACGTGAATATTTATTAAAAATCGCTAAAGCATAACAGGTTGGTGCTGATTCTTTTTTTTTTCTTTTTAATCGGACATGTCTGAAGTTTAACGTCATATTGCATCCTTTTCTTTACAAAGGTGTACACAATCAACCAGGAATCATGCTACCTGATCATCCAGGGCGTACCGGACATCAAAGTCACCGAGGAGTTGCTCAAACTGTTCTCGTTGTATGGCACGATTGAGGAGTACCGGATACTGGAGGATTTCCCAGCTGAGGCATTCACCAAAGTCTACTGGGTCAAATATGTTGAGTTACAAGCAGCAAGGTACTCCCATATTCTGCTGTACCATTCAACTAACAAAAACAAGTGGATTTATTGTATTCGAATTTTAAACTCAAACTCCAAGTTACCAATACATGGTTGGTATTTTAACTAATGCGTATACAGATTTAAGTTTTACTATGACATATGCATGGTTTATATTCCAAAATGCGATAAACGCCAGTTTGTTACGTTTTAGAATCCCGATCTCTCCCGGTTGCCCAAAGTCAGTTTTGACAGCTGTTAAATAGCTCAACACAATTTAAGCAAACAATAAAGCGAAAATGAAGATTAGAAACAGCTGTTATACTGTTTGTATTCTTTAAAGCTTGATAACAGTGACAACTTCTTCACTTTTTTCAAATGGATATATATATCGTTTTGAAAAAAATGACTCCTTATACTTGGACGCAAATGAGATATAGGGGAAACAAATAATCTTGGTTCTTTGCTGCAGCCAAAAGCAGCTATTTATTTGACCAAAACTTTAATGTGCACCAAGAATAAAGCATTTTATCTTCCAGAGATAAAATCAATTACATGCATGTTTAAATTTTTGTTTTACTTGTAATTTTGCATCACACTTTGTATCAATTCTGTTGAAAGCAAAAAAATACCAATATATTTTCACTTCAAATTTTATGTGTAAAATAATTATTCTGACTCACTTCCATCCCTAGGGTCGCCAAACGTAAGATGGATGACAGACCCTTCTACGGGGGCACTCTGCACATCTCCTACGCCCCCGAGTACGAGTCTGTGGAAGACACCGGGCGTAAGTTGCAAGAGAGGAGAAAAGAAGTGGCCAGACGGTTGAAGAAACTACAGCAGGAAAGTCATGGTGTGTCCAAGTATCCAGTGTTATTTGTAAAGAATAGCCCTATAAATGGGGACTAGATACTAGACTCTCTATACATAGTGAGCCCCACTTCCACCAGTGAAAAATGTACAAAGTTGCATATTTTTGGCTTTGAAATATAACAGTGGAGGATGGCCAGGATTTTGTATGCATTAGGTATTTGTATAGTTTGTGTGATGTTCATTTACATCAGGCTTTGCTGAATCTGTTAAAATATCTGTCTAGATTTTTTTTCGAAATTTTCCTCATTCTTATCCATGTTTATGGTTGCATTTCAGCAGAGGTGCCCTCTACTTCTCATGGCAAACCTGCATCAACAATGCAAGATAGCAATGATCCTCTGGCTTTGAAGTCTAGCACTCAGACTTCTACAGGCCAGGACTCGAACACAAGCCAGCTAATAGGTCCTAGGAAACCTGACTCCCTTCCAAATACATCCACAGACTCGCATCAGTCTGTTAATGAATCTAGTGTAACGTCACCTGGTGATCACAGTGAAAAAATACCAGAGCAACTTCCAGCCCCTCCAAGGACTCTACCCGTTTGGGAATGGGAAGATCCGGTCACGTCACGTGACCAGTATCCACGGCTACCAACAGCCCACGCCACCCTGCCCCGAAATTTCAACCCCTATCCCGATGGTTACCAACCCAACATACCAGGTAACCAACACAAAAATAACCTCACACCCATGTCAAACACTGTTACGAACACTGAGGGGGAACCTGTGACAACCACCGGTGCTTCAGACTTGGGCCAAATAGGTGGGAGACCGAGATTCAAACTTGGACGAGACAGTCGTCGTGGCGACAACGCAAAGGAGGAGAAAAACCAAAGGCCTCGGTTGAGATTTCTGGAGCGTGTTGCTTGGCGGGACAGAAGTGAGACACCATCTCAGGACGGAACCTCTGCCAATAACAGGACACGCCCAGTTTCCTTAAAAGGACCACACCCTGATCAGTGTTCCAACCCACCCGCCCAAACCTCTGGTCCTGTTCCGCCCAACCTGCAAACTTCATCGTTTGTGCCACGGCAGTTGCTTGGCAAACGGAAGCACACCACAGAATCCTCACAACCAGAGCAAGCAGGATTTGGTTTGAGTTATGAGGGAGGAGCAGGGCACTCTGAGCAGAGGGGGCACGGTGATACAGGGTTGACGGAGGCAGAGACACCACCTGTCACAGGGGATGCTTCGTTTGACAGGACTGTGAAGAATATCAGGAGGCAGATGAGAAATGTAAGTATCACTAATTATTTCAAAACGGAGCCATCTAGAGTTCAATTTCATGGAGCCCTACTCTCAAAAACACTGTTTTAAAAACAAACTTGGAAGGTCAAAATGAGCTGAGAACTAAGCAGCTGAGAAATGAGCTGAGAACTAAGCAGATCTCTTGGGTGCCCAGCAAAGACATGATCTGGGTGGGGCGCTGTGGTTGAGTGGTTACAGTGTTCGACTCTTGTGCTGTGGCACACAGCTTCGAACCCAGACGGGAGCACGGTGGTTGCGTTCTTGGGCAAGACACTTTACTACAATTGCCTCTATCCACCCAGGAGTATAAATGGGTACCCGTGAAGGCAGAGACCAGATTGCGCTGATCTCGAGCTGCTGCAGAAACAAATGGTCTCATGGCCTGATGAACAGGGGTAATAATTGTGAAGCGCTTTGAAACCATTGGTATAAAGCGCTATATGCATGTAAGCACCAAATTATAATTATCCTTGCATTATCATTGCATTTTAGTTCTTAGATTAATACTTTTCCCACACGCTATAAAGCCTGAACTCTTAAATATTTGTTTGTGAATCTTTTTATCAGAATCATTTCGCAAATTTCTGTAGCTGCAAACAAAAACACCTATTTTGGAAATGGCCTTAGTATTGTTTTGTTTCCTATCTGTCACAAGGTTGTTCCAGCACGCAGTCAGGTGGCAAGTGTACAGCAGCAAGTAGCACCTGCACCTCAACCCGCAGCAGCACCAGCAGGTGGGCCATCAGCTACCAAACGCCCGCGGATCTAACACAGTAGCAACAGCAGCAGGTGGGCCATGAGCTACCAAACGCCTGCGTATCTAACACAGTAACAGCAGCAGCAGGTGGGCCATCAGCTACCAAACGCCCGCAGATCTAACACAGTAGCAGCAGCAGCAGGTGGGCCATCAGCTACCAAACGCCTGCGGATCTAACACAGTAGCTGCAACAGCATGTGGGCCATCAGCTACCAAACGCCCGCAGATCTAACACAGTAGCAGCAGCAGCAGCTGGGCCATCAGCTACCTAACGCCTGCGGATCTAACACAGTAGCAGCAGCAGCAGCTGGGCCATCAGCTACCAAACGCCTGCGGATCTAACACAGTAGCTGCAGCAGCATGTGGGCCATCAGCTACCAAACGCCCGCGGGTCTAACACAGTAGCAGCAGCAGCAGGTGGGCCATCAGCTACCAAACGCCCGCTGATCTAACACAGTACCAGCAGCAGCAGGTGGGCCATCAGCTACCAAACGCCCGCGGATTTAACACAGTAGCAGCAGGTGGGCCATCAGCTACCAAACGCCGCGGATCTAACACAGTGCTTATTGTGATTAATGTGATCTGGGAGATGTGAGCGTGGTGCTCCATCTGAAATGGCGACAGTGGATTGGATCAATCTGTAGACAGTTGTACCTTGAGGGTCTTAGATTTTAGGCTTAACATGGCAATACATTTTGACGGTAATGACCCTAAGGCTACATGCTTACAATTGTGTCTGTTGCTGCCGTGTAGAGTCCCAAAACTAAAAACCACACAGGACGTGTTCACTCATGTTGACAAACGACTCATCGTCGCATCCAGTAACATGAATCACAGGCTGATTTAAAAGACAAGACCATTTCCGATGTCGCCCCTCTTTGCTCCAAGATCCGCAACAAAATAAATGTTTAGGAGCCAAGAGTGCAAATCCCCCGACCTACTTTCCCTAATGCGACGGAGGATTATAGCTGAACTAAGCCGCACGCACACACATGAGGGGGGGGGGGGGTGAGGATGAGAGACAACACAAATTAGGCCGCGGGCGTGTGACCCTATTCACAGCTCTGTCTTCCGCTTAGACTTAATGGCAGCTGGCGCTAAGAGTCTAAGAGTTCTGTAATTGTTCTTAGTAATCGGTTGAAACCACAGGCACCTAAGTGTTTAGAATGACTCAGGGGAGCTGATAAAAACAGGAAGATAGAAAGCTGATTGGTTCTCTTTATTCGGTGCAGGCATGCGGTTTAGGGCTGTGTTTCACGTGCGGAATTGTTGTGTAACTTGGAGTTTGAAAGTCATAATCAGTTTATTATTGGGGGGGGGGGGCCTTAAAACAACAAGTGTTTCTGAAGAGTCTTTTGTATTGTAGGAATGTTAATTATTCAGGCATGCAACTTTTCCTCGGATCTGCTAGTTTTTGACTCCTCATTAATGCCATCACCAATTGAAAAATACTGTACAAAGTCTTGAATGATTTGGAGTTTCCTCGTTTTTTTTCCCCCTCTAAATTCCCAGTTGCATGCCTGATTATTACTGGTATTGAAAGCCGACAATTTATCAAAGTGAAAATACAGCTATTAGCTTTGAAGCTTGCAGAAACCTTTAATGCGAAGGTGGTGAGCGAAGGGTGTTTAATATTTGATTTGTAGAATTTGTTTCATTGACTTCTATTTTATAAGTTAACTTGTGTTTTGCCATATATTTTTTTTATTAAGTTACTGATGTATTCATAAGACAGTGCTCCTAATAAAAGTATTAATTATGAGGCCAATCTGAAAAGTAAAATGAGACATGAGAATTATAGTCTGAAGTGAAATCCATGGAATCTTGAAAGCCTACTCTCTCTCAGATTTTTGTTTCTTTTAGATGACTGTTGGGAAAGTAGACTGTAAGAAATCGATTCTTAGATTTCAGTCTCAATTAATGGGAAAAAAATATGTTATGTTGCACGATTGAAAAATATTATCGTATTGCAAACCTTGCATTTTTCTTTTTCTTTATTCCAAAATATGAATTATTGTATAATTTTGTACTGTAAATTTGAAGACGAACATAATTTGTGGAAAAATAAATATTTTATGAAAAGAAAATGTTCTAATGTACCAGTAAATAAGTTATTTGAACTGAACAAGTTATTTGCTAAAAACAATTTGCAAGGGGTTAACCTTGCATTGGCATCAAAATTTAGCAAAAATTTGATTTTCTTCCAAAATTTACTGAACTCAATCAAAAATTAATTTGCAAGTTTAGCCTTGCTTGCAAGGGGTTAGCCTTGCATTTTTATGAAAATTTGGCCAAAATTTAATTTTCTTTCAAATTTACTCAAATCACTCAAAAATTAATTTGCAAGGGGTTAGCCTTGCATTTTTACGAAAATTTGGCCAAAAATTGATTTTCTTCCAAATCCCTCAAAACACTCAAAAATGTATTTGCAAGGGGTTAGCCTTGCATTTTTATGAAAATTTGGCCAAAATTTGATTTTCTGCCAAATTTCCTCAAATGCACTCCAAAATTAATTTGCAAGGGGTTAGCCTTGCATTTTTATGAAAACTTGGCCAAAATTTGGTTTTCTGCCAAAATTACTCAAAAAACTCAAAAATTATTTTGCAAGGGGTTAGCCTTGCATTTTTATGAAAATTTGGCCAAAATCTGATTCTTTTCAAAATACCTCATATCACTCCAAAATTAATTTGCAAGGGGTTAGCCTTGCATTTTTATGAAAACTTGGCCAAAATCTGATTTTCTTCAAATGTCGGCTGATGACTTCAAATGTCGGCAAATGTCGGCTGATGACTGCAAATGGTGCCCGACTAAACTTAGTGCAAATATATGGGAGTCCAAAGAGGCCACATAAAGCTTATTCTCGATCATAACCCCATCTAAAAACACGTTAAAATTGTGCAGCAGCAGAATTCCAGTCGAACCAGTGAGATGGCGGTTTTGAGACATCATCTTGTATTGGAAAAAAAACTTTTTCATTTTGCCGACGCGCATGGCTACGGCGATGCGGGCGCATACCAGAAACCGGAGACTTTGTTTTTTTGGCCTTAGTCTTGCATTTTTATGAAAATTTGGCCAAAATCTGATTTTCTTCAAAATTCCTCAAATCACTCAAAAATAAATTTGCAAGGGGTTAGCCTTGAATTTTTATGAAGACTTGGCCAAAATCTGATTTTCTGCCAAAATTACTCAAATTACTCAAAAATTATTTTGCAAGGGGTTAGCCTTGCATTTTTATGAAATGTGGCTAAAATCGGATTTTCTTCCACAATTCCTCAAAAATTGACTTTTCTGGAAACGACCTAGAAACACTTTAGGAGGCATGATTAGCATATTGTCATCATTCTAAAGTGATTATTTTTCAAAATTTGGGCAAATACAAAGGATTTTTGTCCGAAGTTAAAAAAAACAATTAATTTTTCCAATTTTGTTGACGCCATATTTCTTTTGAACACCACATATTGCCTGAGAATTTTGGGAATGTGTTGTAAGGGCCATCAGGCATCTTCCTAGCAATTTTCAAGCAATTTCATATTTTGGCCAAAATTGAAAAAAAATGCAAGGGGTTAGCCTTACTTTTTTATCAAATTTTGGTCAAAAATTTACTTTTCTGGAAACGACCTAGAAACACTTTAGGAGGCATGATTAGCATATTTTCATCATTCTAAAGTGATAATTTTGAAAATTTGGGCAAATATAAAGGATTTTTGTCCGAAAAATAAAAAACAACAATTAATTTTTCCAATTTTGTTGACGCCATATTTCCCTTGAACATCAAATATGGCCTGAGAAATTTTGGGAATGTGTTCTAAGGGCCATCAGGCATCTTCCTAGCAATTTTCAAGCAGTTTCATATTTTGGCCAAAATTGAAAAAAATGCAAGGGGTTAGCCTTACTTTTTTATCAAATTTTGGTCAAAAATTGACTTTTCTGGAAACGACCTAGAAACACTTTAGGAGGCATGATTAGCATATTGTCATCATTCTAAAGTGATTATTTTGAAAATTTGGGCAAATACAAAGGATTTTTGTCCGAAAATTAAAAAAAAAAAAATTAATTTTTCCAATTTTGTAGACGCCATATTTCTTTTGAACACCACATATGGCCTGAGAAATTTTGGGAATGTGTTCTAAGGGCCATCAGGCATCTTCCTAGCAATTTTCAAGCAATTTCATATTTTGGCCAAAATTGAAAAAAATGCAAGGGGTTAGCCTTATTTTTTTATCAAATTTTGGTCAAAAATTGACTTTTCTGGAAACGACCTAGAAACACTTTAGGAGGCATGATTAGCATAATTTCATCATTCTAAAGTGATTATTTTGAAAATTTGGGAAAATACAAAGGATTTTTGTCCGAAAATTAAAAAAAAAAAAATTAATTTTTCCAATTTTGTAGACGCCATATTTCTTTTAAACACCACATATGGCCTGAGAAATTTTGGGAATGTGTTCTAAGGGCCATCAGGCATCTTCCTAGCAATTTTCAAGCAATTTCATATTTTGGCCAAAATTGAAAAAAATGCAAGGGGTTAGCCTTACTTTTTTATCAAATTTTGGTCAAAAATTGACTTTTCTGGAAACGACCTAGAAACACATAAGGAGGCATGATTAGCATATTTTCATCATTCTAAAGTGATTATTTTGAAAATTTGGGCAAATATAAAGGATTTTTGTCCGAAAAATTAAAAAAACAATTAATTTTTCCAATATTGTTGACGCCATATTTCCCTTGAACACCACATATGGCCTGAGAAATTTGGGAAATGTGTTCTAAGGGCCATCAGGCATCTTCCTAGCAATTTTCAAGCAATTTCATATTTTGGCCAAAATTGAAAAAAATGCAAGGGGTTAGCCTTACTTTTTTATCAAATTTTGGTCAAAAATTGACTTTTCTGGAAACGACCTAGAAACACTTTAGGAGGCATGATTAGCATATTGTCATCATTCTAAAGTGATTATTTTGAAAATTTGGGCAAATATAAAGGATTTTTGTCCGAAAATTAAAAAAAAAAAATTAATTTTTCCAATTTTGTAGACGCCATATTTCTTTTGAACACCACATATGGCCTGAGAAATTTTGGGAATGTGTTCTAAGGGCCATCAGGCATCTTCCTAGCAATTTTCAAGCAATTTCATATTTTGGCCAAAATTGAAAAAAATGCAAGGGGTTAGCCTTACTTTTTTATCAAATTTTGGTCAAAAATTGACTTTTCTGGAAACGACCTAGAAACACTTTAGGAGGCATGATTAGCATATTGTCATCATTCTAAAGTGATTATTTTGAAAATTTGGGCAAATACAAAGGATTTTTGTCCGAAAATTAAAAAAAAAAAAATTAATTTTTCCAATTTTGTAGACGCCATATTTCTTTTGAACACCACATATGGCCTGAGAAATTTTGGGAATGTGTTCTAAGGGCCATCAGGCATCTTCCTAGCAATTTTCAAGCAATTTCATATTTTGGCCAAAATTGAAAAAAATGCAAGGGCTTAGCCTTATTTTTTTATCAAATTTTGGTCAAAAATTGACTTTTCTGGAAACGACCTAGAAACACTTTAGGAGGCATGATTAGCATATTGTCATCATTCTAAAGTGATTATTTTGAAAATTTGGGCAAATATAAAGGATTTTTGTCCGAAAAATTAAAAAAACAATTAATTTTTCCAATATTGTTGACGCCATATTTCCCTTGAACACCACATATGGCCTGAGAAATTTGGGGAATGTGTTCTAAGGGCCATCAGGCATCTTCCTAGCAATTTTCAAGCAATTTCATATTTCGACCAAAATTGAAAAAAATGCAAGGGGTTAGCCTTACTTTTTTATCAAATTTTGGTCAAAAATTGACTTTTCTGGAAACGACCTAGAAACACTTTAGGAGGCATGATTAGCATATTGTCATCATTCTAAAGTGATTATTTTGAAAATTTGGGAAAATACAAAGGATTTTTGTCCGAAAATTAAAAAAAAAATAATAATTTTTCCAATTTTGTAGACGCCATATTTCTTTTGAACACCACATATGGCCTGAGAAATTTTGGGAATGTGTTCTAAGGGCCATCAGGCATCTTCCTAGCAATTTTCAAGCAATTTCATATTTTGGCCAAAATTGAAAAAAATGCAAGGGGTTAGCCTTGTTTTTTTTATCAAATTTTGGTCAAAAATTTACTTTTCTGGAAACGACCTAGAAACACTTTAGGAGGCATGATTAGCATATTGTCATCATTCTAAAGTGATTATTTTGAAAATTTGGGGAAATACAAAGGATTTTTGTCCGAAAATTAAAAAAAAAAAAAATAATTTTTCCAATTTTGTAGACGCCATATTTCTTTTGAACACCACATATGGCCTGAGAAATTTTGGGAATGTGTTCTCAGGGCCATCAGGCATCTTCCTAGCAATTTTCAAGCAATTTCATATTTTGCCCTAAATTGAAAAAAATGCAAGGGGTTAGCCTTACTTTTTTATCAAATTTTGGTCAAAAATTGACTTTTCTGGAAACGACCTAGAAACACTTTAGGAGGCATGATTAGCATATTGTCATCATTCTAAAGTGATTATTTTGAAAATTTGGGCAAATACAAAGGATTTTTGTCCGAAAATTAAAAAAAAAAAAATTAATTTTTCCAATTTTGTAGACGCCATATTTCTTTTGAACACCACATATGGCCTGAGAAATTTTGGGAATGTGTTCTAAGGGCCATCAGGCATCTTCCTAGCAATTTTCAAGCAATTTCATATTTTGGCCAAAATTGCATTTTTATGAAAATTTGGCCAAAATCTAATTTTCTTTCAAAATATCTATAATCACTCAAAAATTCATTTGCAAGGGGTTAGCCTTGCATTTTAATGAAAATTTGGCCAAAATCTGATTTTCTTCCAAAATTACTCAAATTACTCAAAAATTTATTTGCAAGGGGTTAGCCTTGCATTTTAATGAAAATTTGGCCAAATCTGATTTTCTTCAAAATTCCTCAAATCACTCAAAAACTATTTTGCAAGGGGTTAGCCTTGCAATTTTATGAAAATTTGGCCAATATCTGATTCTTTTCAAAATTCCTCATATCACTCCAAAATTAATTTGCAAGGGGTTAGCCTTGCATTTTTATGAAAACTTGGCCAAAATTTGATTTTCTGCCAAAATTACTCAAATTACTCAAAGATTAATTTGCAAGGGGTTAGCCTTCCTTTCTTTTGAAAATTTGGCCAAAATTTGATTTTCTTCCAAATTCCTTAAAACACTCAAAAATTTATTTGCAAGGGGTAGTAAGCCTTGCATATTGATGAAAATTTGGCCAAAATTTGATTTTCTTCCAAATTTCTTCAAATTACTCAAAAATTAATTTGCAAGGGTTTAGCCTTGCATTTTTATGAGGTGGACAAAATTTGAATTTGTTTTAAATTTTCTCCAATGTCTCAAAAATTAATGAAAATTTGGCCAACATTTTGATTTCTTTTTTTAAAAATATCTAAAATCACTCAAAAATGAATTTACAAGGGATTAACACAACTACAGGGTTGCAATCATGGCAGGCACATTTCACTGTTTATTCTTCAAAATGACTACAGCATGAAAAAAAAACTACTACATCGCTATTAAAAAATTGACTAGAATTTTTCTCTAAACACTGATTTAAATTCTAACGTGGATGTTAAGTAAGCAATGTGGACTATTCCATCTTGTCATTTCCATTGTCAAATGAAATGGAATAGTCCAGCTTTAATATCAAAGGAAAATGATGAATCTGTAATCACTGAATTACTAACATCTACAAGTGCAATGTAAAAGAAGAAGCTTAAATAAATACAAAATGCCAACTAATGACTACTACTTATTGTGCTTATTATAATGCAGTCTCCGTTGACAGCAAAACTTTCAAAAATTGTTACTGTTAGTTTACAAAAGCGCCCTCTACTGTTGATGGAGAATTCATCTGAACATTGGGCTCCAACTGAACACCAGGCCCAATTTCACGGCGCTGCTAAGCACAAAAAATTTGCTTAGCACAAAAGAAGTCTGGGTTATAAAAGCAGGTTATCAGCCAAAACTCAATGTGATTTTCATGCTAAGCAAACAACAACTGAATACTTATCACGAGCAATATGCATCACGTGGAGTTTTGGCTGATAACCTGCTTTTATAAGCCAGACTTGTTTTGTGCTAAGCAAATTTTTGTGCTTTGCAGCGCCGTGAAATTGGCCCCTGCAGAGCTGCCAACTCTCCCTGATTCTGCAGAAAGTTCCCTGAAAAAAAAACACCAATCTTTCCATGTTCTGATTAACAAATTTGAAAATCTCCCTGATTATGAAAACCGTTTTTCCTTATTATGTTGAATCTTATTATAAATATCTCCCATAGTGTTGCAAAAAACCTCCCTGATAGCAAGATGCAGATATTGGCAGCTCTGCACCTGGCTTTTCGTCATGCTTTGGCATGAACAATGAATGCAAGATTACTCTAAACCATTATCAACTCAATACTGATGATGCTCTTTACAATACATGATGCTCTACAGGTGACATATATCGCTATTTCACTGATGATTAAAAAGAAAAGAAAAAAAGATTAACCCTAACAGTCCTGAATCCTCCAATTTCAATATGATTTTGCACACCCCCTAGGGAGTTAGGCTTTTAATAAACAAAAAAAAGTTCCAAAGTCATCAAGTTCTTTCCGACCAGTATGTACACATTAAGATGCAACCATGTGGGGCAAAACTCAAAAGTAGGCTAACATCGGGAAAACAAAAAACAAAAGTCCAGGAAATTCATGTAAGTGTGACCGAGAAACAGACTTCAGTACTTTGCCCTTCTTGGATTTCCTGAATGTGCAAATCTTTTTCTTTTTCCGAACGGGGATAAAAAAACAAACTCAAAACAGACTTGATATACAGATGGTGCTGCACAAGGTTCACGATCAATTCTACGGACTGACCCACGCTGGATCCGAGGTAGAGTCTGTCAACAGCCCCGGCCAATTAAACGCCAAACTCAGATTGACAGGGATTAGGTCTATTAGCAAATTGGGTCATCACGCAATGCGAGATAGCTGCCGACAGGATATTGCATTAATCATCGTCACATCTTCACATGATTCACGCCAGGTTTTTTACTTCAACCGTTTTTTTTTTTCTTTCTATTTTTCCTCTCTGCCTGGAATTATTTAGTGAGAGGCGGAGCTTACATGATGTCGAGTCTGTTTCTTCCTTAATCTTTTTTTTTTTTTTTTCTTGTTCTCTTTTTTTTCCCGTTTAGAATTTGTCGGATGATTGAGTTTTGTTTTTGAAATGGATGGTTCCCTCGATGTTCTTGATTGAAGAGTTGGTCGACCTTCGCGTTGGTGTGCTGTGCAGTGTCATATCGATAATGCTGATCTCATTGCGATGATGATGTTGATAAAAGTGCAGCTTGGACTATCTGATATTCACAGAGAGACCTGGAGAGAAATTTAAAGAAAACAAAGGACAAAACTTATTCTTTTGAGTCTTTTAAACTTTTATGTGACATCAAGGGATACTAAATATTGAGGAACACTGTTACTTCATTGGGCCAATAGGGGTGTTCACTTGTTTACTGGGATCAAACTGGGTACCGACAAGATTCCAACAGGGTTTTGACAAGGATTTGACAAGGATTCAACAAGGTTCCTACAGAGATCCAACAGGGCTCTGATAAGGATCCAACAGTGTTCTGACAAGGATCCAACAAGGTTCTGACTAGGACCCAATAGGGTTCTGAGAAAGATCCAACAAGCTTCCTACAGGGATCCAACAGGGTTCTGACAAGGTTCAATGAAAGATCCAACAAGGTTCCTACTGGAATCCAACAAGGTTTAAACAAGGAGCCAACAAGGTTCCTACTTAGATCCAACAAGGTTCCTGCTGAGATCCAACAAGGATCCTACTGGGATCCAACAAGGTTCCTTCTGAGATCCAACAAGGTTCCTACTGGGATCTAACGAGGTTCCTACTGGGATCCAACAAGGTTCCTACTGGGATCTAACAAGGTTCCTACTGGGATCCAACAAGGTTCCTATTGGGACCCAACAAGGTTTGAACAAGGATCCAACAAGGTTCCCACTGAGATTCAACAAGGTTTAAACAAGGATCCAACAAGGTTCCCACTGAGATTCAACAAGGTTCCAACAAGGATACAACAAGGTTCCAACAAGGATACAACAAGGTTCCTACTGGGATCCAACAAGGTTCCTACTGAGAATCCAACAAGGCTCAAACGAGGCTCCAACAAGATTCCAACAGAGAACCAACAAGGTTCTGACTGATGTCCAACAAGTTTCTTAAATGGATCCAAAAGGTTCCAATAAGGATCCAACAATAATTCAACAGGGAGCCATCAGGGAGAGTAAATGATCCCCAGCAAAGATATAAAAAGAGTTCATCACTCAGTCAGTAGGTTGGATTAGAAAAACCTGCTAAAATTTCTGACATCAGGCTCATCCATCTCTGTTAGATGTCAATTAAGCCCCCCCCCCTCCAACTCTTCCCCCTTCCATGTCTCGTATAAAACCCCAACCTGTTTCCTGACAGCATGACCTAGATCAGAAATGAAGATCCAGCAGCGGCGAAAAGAAAGTCCCTGCCCTTCCTTGATGATCATCCCCAAGAAAAAGAAAGTGCTGTGGTCAGAGGAAGTATCGAGTTTCAGCCCCATAACCGGCTTGACGCCGTTCAATTAGAGCCGCGTCATGAAATACTTCCAAACGACAATTTGCCGGTCTGACACGGCCGGGGAGGCTTGACAAACTTCTTTACTGTGTTTTTTTTTCCAAGGCATTCCTCTGAAGGATATTTCAATAGGGCTGGCGTTTTAAACAAACAATAAATACAATGTCCTGTTTTACACAAGGCTATCGGCAGATTATTGATGACGGGATCAGTTCAATGGCTCGGTGACAGTTTGGTTAATACCAGCAAAGCCAAATGACAACCCAATGCTTTTTAGACAACCCCTACCCCCAAACTCCCCCCCCCCCCCCAAAAAGGGGGAAAACAAGAATTTTTGCAGGGGGGGGGGGGGTTCAGGCAATTCAGATTTGTTTTAATCGCAAATCAGTACTGAAATGTAGACAGGTTTCTTTTCTACGGACACTATGCAGGCATGTAACTGGGAATTTGGACAAAACGAGGAAACTCCAAACCACACAAGACTTTGTAAGGTATTTTTCAATTTGTAATGGTATTCATAAGAAGTAAAAAAAAAACGAGGAAATCAGCGGATCCGAGAAAAAGTTGCATGCCTGACTATGATTATCATTATTTTTTTGGGTGTAGGCTAAAGGTACAGGTATGTTAACCAAGGCGTGGATCCAGGGGGGGGGGGGTTCAACTGTCCCTCGATCCGTGCCTGGGTTGACATACATGTACCTTAAGCTGAAAAAAATTCTGAGAACTAAAAAAAACTAGCAAACATGATCACATGAGATTTCTTGGCAAATTTGTCTGTGTGTGGTAGCAAAAACAAACAACCCGGTGGCTTATCATCAGTGATGTGGCAAATTGGTTTTTGATGACGGTTCCCATTAACCTGATAGCATATCGGACTGTACTTTGTTGTCCTGCTTCCTAGTTATTTGGTAAAAATGACTGCCATATTTGGGATGAAAGTTCAGGAAAGCGACGCTTGGCATAGAACTTCTTTTTCATGCTACTTCGCTTCGCTCATATGCATGAAAAGCAGTTTCACTCTTTGAGTAACCAGACACAGATTCAATTATACAGAGAATGTAAGTTTATATGGTTAATGTTTATTACAGCATGGGAGGGGGTCTTGCAGTGCAAGGACAATATCGGAGGACGTACAAGAGACACTTGGCGCGTGTGCAAGGACCTGAAGTGGCGAAGATCTGTGGAATTAGGCTTTTATAGTAATGTCACGCATCAGTGACTGGTATGGGAGGGTCATCTAAATAAGGCGGGAATTTTAATGGACGGTATCGGACAAAAGACTACACTACAAAGAAACGGGCGTGCAGGCTGTGAAGGTTTAAAGGAACAATCAAGCTGCCTGGTCACACAAACAACAAAACTAAAGCAAACGAACTGGTTGCTGATTAGACATATTTTCGCTTGCCCAAAAGTAGGGCAGTGTGTAGAACGGAAACCTGCTTAGCAATCTGCTCAGCAGTCTGCTCAGCAGCTCAGGAAATCTGGGTGAATGGGGAGAGCTCGTCATTAGCCTCCTATCCGGCGGAAGCTGATGAGGGTGTTAATCCCAGGATTAATCTGTCCTAAGAGAAAAGCCTGCAGATGTTGAAAGTTTCACAGAAACCTGTCAGTCGTTGCCCTGGTCAATGAACACTCTCTGGGCTACAGCCGTAAATGCTCTTCTTTTTATTTTCAGTCCCGTATTTTGACGCCCCCCCCCCCTCACCCACTAAACTTACTTTGAGAGGACACATACAATGATGTTTTGCATCACAGCAGCTGTTCTCACTTGGCATGACAGTAACGGCCATTTTTTCTTCGCACTGCAAATTCCCGAAAGTTGAACCCATTTCAACTCCAGGTGAATTTTGCTGTGAATTTTTTTCTCAACGTCAGATTCCCTCCCTTTAACATTCGCAGTGACCTGAAGTTTTCACGGCCTTTGTGGGCAAACCCTGTCAAAATCTAGCCCGGGGCAACTTTGATTTTAGTTGTGCCTAGGTTGACCCCTCCTATTTCTGTTTGCCAACTCCCCCCCCCCCCCCTCATTCCCATCCCTCACGGTAAAAGCATTTGGCTTTACGCTCATGGACAATATAGATAAGAGCCATTTTACAGACCTGGAAAATTATTCCTCGACGAAGAAATCACGCATGATTAAAAAACTTCTTCCTCCTAAGCTTCAATTAAGCTGATAAGAAAGGAGGCCTGGTCCAGACCCCAGGGACACCAGATCACTTACCACGACCCATTTTTCGCCCCCTCCCCAAATCTCTCCAACCCCATGACCACAAGACACCAGACTAATTTTTGAAAGCAAGACTCGATACCGGTGATAAATGACATTGCTGCCCGGCAGGGATGTACATGAAAAAAAAAAACACCAAAAAACCCAGAAAAACGATTCGTCTTGAGGGAGTTGCTGATTGCTTCTTCAACACCCTGCAGCTACGAAGGGCCGATAATTTCAACGTTTCTCTTCTTTCTCAAAATTGATGGATTGAGTTTGAGGGGTGAAGCCACAAGTGCAGTACCCATGGGATGAGAGAGGTCCGAACGATATCGCGTCGTGCCCAGCGGTTGGCCTGCGGGGGGTCACGGAGAAGACTAAGTTGGCCGACAGGAAGTCGGTGCTTTTCTACTTGTCAACTCCAACCGGAAGTAGCAACTCTTGAATTAGCCACACACAGATTGAAATCATCATCTATGAAAGCGTGAAAGAGTCCGCTTGCTTGTTGAATCTTTCACAAAACTGAAAAGTTCTCCTTAAATCTCGGGGCTCATTTTCAAAGAACTGGTAAGCGGAAAAATCATGTTGAACAGATGTATGTGCTTCCCTGAAATGTGGTTGAGAACCAGTCACACGCAGCGTACATCAATGACAATTCGGCTGGTAACCGGTCTGTGTTAAGCAAATACTTTCTGTGCTTAACAGCTCAAAGAAATTTGCTGTTGGTCAAGAACGCTCTGGGCTCTGATTCCCTGAAACCTTTGCATCTTTCTTCTGAACAAGAAATCCATTTTTTTTCTCAAGAATCCAAAACAAGGTCAAACAATTGGATTGAAGACCTATTTCAGACATGCCACTGGGAAGAAACAAAAAGGGAGAAGAAATCCCAAGCTTCACAAGACTTTCTACAGAGTTTTTTTTTTTCAATTTTAAATGGTATAAGTGTGAAGTGAACGACGACAAAATCAACCGATCTGAGGAAAAGTTGCATGCCTGCTATTTGACAGCGGATCGCTAACCACTCTCAGAATGTTCCTGTGCAATCTGACTCGTCTTGGGGTTCAACAATCACGGACCTCCACTTTCAGTACTCTTTATTCCTTTCAGCATATTTTGAAGGAAAAAAATAAAAAAAAAACAGGAAAGTAGTTTCTTGAAAGTACCTTTAAACTGATTGAATACAAGGAGTGGGATGGCAAAAGCAAGCCTTCTACTTGACCTCCAAAATTGTGATGGAAGACGGATTGAGGAAGATTCGAGGAAGATTCGAGGAAGATCGTTTCTCTCCAAATCAAAATGACTGTCTTATGAACCAGGCCAGGAGTAGAACAATAGGGCACATCAACCTGTATTTAATTAGGTTCACAAGTTGACTAAATTGAGTACAACAATCACGTTCTCTGCTGGAGCTTGTGACACATCAAACGATGGAGGGGCGTTGGTCAGAGCTTTTAAGAAATCAAAGACGTGTTTCTGATGACGTCGTTTTGAGGAGTACTCCTCGCTAACCCAAAGGAGATAGTGCCTAATGGATCAAAAGGTAGGTGAATTTTATTTTTTGTTTCTTACTTATCTTCGAAGAGCTACTGGGTGAGTTGAAGGGGCGCTATGTGTTGCGGATGCCTAGCGCCTGTTCCAGCTCGGCCCGGCGTTGTTGGACTTTGCTGTAGAAGTAGCGGCGGACAGCTTCCTGGGCCCAAGGCTTGAAGTAGAAGTCGCTGCGACGTTCTTCTTCGGGGTTTCCCACTACGTCCGTCATGGTCTGAAAATTGAGGGTAGGAAAAAAAAAAAGAACAAAGGATTTATTGACAAAGTCAACAGAGTTGATCTGATACACCGTGCCCTCTGGAGACGTGCACACAATAGGGAACAAAAGATTGTATAGGTCTCCACAGGGTTTTCACGAAATAGATATATGGATTTTACGCAAAAACCAGGAATTTCGAAGGTGGGTTTTAGAAAAGGGATATGAAGTCCGAATTTCAGCCAAGGAAATTAATTCTGGTTAAAATAAGAGCATTTTGAAACTTCACTTTCAAACTTTCAAACTTTACTACACGAGAACAAAGAAATGTCTCCACAAGGATACAAATGTCAGTTTCAGTGAGTTCAGCATAAGACCATCATAAGCCCGGTCACAAGAAAATCTCAAGTCAATCACTGTGAATCACAAGTCAAGTCACAAGTCTGGTCACAGACTCACAGGTACTGGGAGGGTCTATAACAAAGGAATGGCTTTTCCACAGTTCATTTGAAAAGCTTGTGACTTGTCTTGGGACTGGAGGACTTGCGATGAACTTGCAAAGACTCGTGGGAACTTGTCATGGAATCAACAACAACAAAACGCTGCTTTTACAGAGTGACAAATTTTGAGTTTACTGATAAATTGTTTTACCAGATTTTTGGGGGGAAATGATGTCGGATATAATTTATGCAATATCAGTGAGGTGACAAGGATGTATTTTAGGGTATTGAGATTTTTAACTGACAGAAAAGTAACTGACAAATCCAAGAGGACCAGGAGCATGCCATTTGGTAAAGTCAGGAGTCAGGTTGGTGTAGAAGTTCTTTCCTCGCCTTCCACCGCTGTGACCCGGGTTCGATTCCTGCCCTGGCCACATGTGGATTGGGTTTTCAGTCCCTACCTGATTCTGTGGGTATTTCCCCCAGAATGTTTATCTGGGGTTTTTCCTCCCACCTCTAAAACTGTTATTTATCCTCATTGTCTCCTCTCTACAGGTTTCTTCAAGTCACCTCGACTTCTCCTTGGACAAGCAAAACTGCTTTTTAGGAGTCTACACATCAAGCATCAAGTTTGCGAGCTACAGTGCCTTGGATGCTTTTGAGGAATCCTTGGTTTCATTACCAGAAATAATTAATGATAAAAAAAAACAAGAATGTTTGATGGCTTGAAAAGCCAATGTTGATAATTGCTGACAACACTTTCTATGCAATGTTATGAGGGAAATGATATAATTGAAGTCTCGTTTCTTTTGCCAAAGGTTTTTGACAGACAAATCTGTTGTTCTGACTCGGCAATAATTTCAGAGTTTTTTTCTTTCCCTTTCTCCCCCCTTCGCCTTTTGCCATATGAGATAAAACGTTCTGACTGTCCGTCCGTCGGGCGTAAAGCCGACTGACATCATTGCAGAAATCTACAGTGACTTCACGAGGCGTCAGCTCCGAAAGGCTTCGAGGTCTGCCTAAAAATACTCAAATTTAGCGGGATTAAGTGATTTCCTGTGTTTTGATAGCGTAACTCGGACCTATCAAGACGGTAAAATCACAGTCGAACAAGTTGGTGGCATCTGTCGCGAGTCGTTAGGCCTAGATAGCGTCCTTCCTAGACAAGTCAAATCTCCGCTAGGTTCTTTTATTTTTGTTTCCTTGTTTTTTTTTTGTTTTTTTTTAAAACTAGGTCAGGGTAATTTAGGGCAGTTGGAAAACAGACGAAACAGAGTCACACGCAATGGTACAGGGAATTATTTATATAGAGCAGGGATCTAGGCTTGGTAAACTGCCACAAAACCAACTCTGTGAGAATCGGTCTAGTTACTTTCAAGTAAACTGACTAGTTAAGTTAGTTAAGTAACTAAAACACCCAGAACTGGGACTCTACTACTAACTAACCAGCTATCTAGCTATTTAATTAACTAAAATAACACCAGTACTGGTAAAAACCCAGTAACTGGCTGGTTGGGTAACTAAAATGAAACCAGTACTGGGACACTTGTTAATTCATAAACCAGTTGAATTACTGGTTTAAGTGACTGACACACAACCAGTGCTGGTACTCTAGTTAGTTAACTAACCAGTTAAAGTACCAGGTATAAAAGTAACTGGCTAGTTAAGTGTTTAACAGCAGAAACCAAGGTAACCCAGGAATAAAGATCCGGTTAAGAAAAGAATTTAGCCCACATAAGGAAAGAAAAGAGACAATCTGGCACAAATTTTGGAAACTAAAATAAAGAGCAAAATCAACAAACGGGGGAAGGACCTTCTGAAAACCAGTTCCCCAGGAACTAGTTCCCAGCTGACGTTTGCTTAATACGAGAATTTGGCAAGCGACATTTATCTTTCTTCTGCTTAAAAGGTCTAATTGTCTGCTTAGCAGGGTTGCGTCGTGGAGGATACCTACCTTCAGATCCATGCTCTGTGACACCAGCCACTCGCTGATGAAGTTCTGCGGATCCCTGGCAAAGCCCAGCATGAACTCGCGCTGGACCTTGAGCTGGTTTATGGTCTCGACGGTCTCATGAATCTGAAAAAAAAAAAAAAAAACTTATCTTAAACTTCTGGTGACCCATTATTTTTCTGTGCCAAGCAAGCTTCCATGATTAGCAGCTTTGGTAACAATTGACCAGGGTTGTGGTGTGGAAAACTGAAAATAAAACGCACCTAGAATTTAGGCCGCTGGGCAACATGGCCACCTGGATGTTTGGCGCCAAGTAGACGTTAAGACCCTAACCCTGCTGAATCCAACAGGATCCAACTACATCAAATACAAAATGGGGCCTGTTGGATTGAGCAGTAAACCCCTGGTGTACATTCTTGACGCAAAATGTTGGATTCAGCAGGCAACTGAACTGCATTATAATGCCAAGTTGGACCCCGTTGGATCTAGCAGACAACTGAAAATGAGGCACAGTGCATTGAGCAGGAAAGTCCAGTTGGACTCTGTTGGATTTAGCAGGGTAGTCCTGAGGAAGTACTAGGGGGTTAGGGATGTTTCAGGCCGTTTGTATTTTGTGGGCACTTGTACTGCATGAGGACACCTGGGTATGGGTACCACACAGGATTTGTAGTAATTTAGGCACTGTGGTCACCTGACCATTCGTGTTTTATCCGTGGCCGCCTCCAAAATGTGGCCACTTGGGCATTGCTAGAGCGTATCAATTGTGTAGCCAAATGGGAATCATTGCCACCTTGTATCTGGCTGCCTGGTTATTTGGGCTATTACGATACTCCGGCCAAACATTAAAGCCAACTCAATTTTGCGGCCAAAACATTGGAGTCCACTTGCACACCACTGGCTGACGACTGAAAAATGATAAATCATTTCTGGCATGACACACGGGCCAAACACAAACATGACTGAGCCCATGTCAGTTCCCGGGGACACATCGCAGCCCACATTGTCATCTTGCATACTTGACGCTGGCGTTGATGTCTTCTTCAACTATGAGCTCCAAGGTCAATGGCGTGATTTGCAATTTCCGCTGCTATATCATGTTTTATGTCAACTGTTTATAAAAAAAAAAATGACACAACAGATGGCCAGGATCTTCAACCCAGATACAAACGTGAATTGCAGAAATTTCATACTTGAGATTAATCAAAAGTTGCAGACTTTCAATGCCATGGATAATAAAAAAACTTGTGGGAATCTCATTCCTGCGAATCGTGAGAGGACACCTGTGTCAGATTTGAAGGTATATAACATCTAATGGGTGGGACCAAGTAAATAGGCCAAACATTTGTCAATTGTTATACATTCAAATTATTCTATATCAGAGAGTTTTGAGAGCCATGGAAATTCGTGGACTGAAGACACATGGCACTGTACCTCTGGCCTGGACTTGGGGTTTTCAAGTCCGAGCATTTCGGATGCAATGGGGTCGGAAAGTGGCGTTATTTAGCCATGTTGTGAAGGGATCCTTTTTTAAAAAGGCTACTTTTCCAGTTTGGGAAATATCATTCGTCTTATGGGCGGTCTTCTTTTGGTGAGAATTTCTCCAAAAAGGCATTGGTCAACCCACCAAAAAATTGAAGGGAAAATGAAAGACGACATGTTGATCATCATTTTCTGTGCAGCCTGAACACCTGTCCCCAACCCTTGTCCCCCCACAGTCGACCTGTGACATGATGACATCACGCTTTGTTTACAGGAGGGGTTGCTGGTCACAAAGCTCCCATAAAAGAAAGCGCACTTGTAAGCAAAGTGTGACGTCATTACTTTTCAAGTACATAATTGCTACTGCCAATCACAGATTTCTGCCAAGCTCAGGAGAGCAGCCTTGCTTAGCAAAAACCGGTTACCGGCCAAAATTTCATGCAATCTATAGAGCCGTTGACTGGTACTCTGCCCGTATCTGCTCAGCACAAAAGAGTTCCTGAGCAGGACTTTCCAGCTGGCCCCTGCTTACTGGGTTACAGGATTCCCTGTTGTGTCCCTGTGAAAGATCGTTTACTAGAACTGACAACGACCGGCCGAAAAATATAATTGTCCCGGAAACAACTCCGAAAATATAGGTCTGATTGACTTGTCACATGCGGCTGTAATTTTTTGTTTGGCCTTGGCGTGCTGTGATAACTTATTATCCTCCCCCCACATATTTTGTTTTTAAGTCGACAGCCGCTAGCGTCAGCTGTTAATATCTTAATGAAGATGCCAACTTAAACATGACTGTGCTGTAAAACTGCTGTTCATGAATGTATCCATATTTTTTTGGTTTGTTTGTCTGCAGAAGAAAGGCCTCGTGAAGGAAAGGTACGGATTTCTACATTGATTCATGCTCTGCAGGGACAGGGAATTTATAGGGGTGGAAGACACAGTTCAATGGGGGTGTTTAAAAAGGGATACCCTCAAAGATAAGAAAGTTTATTGGAAGATGTTATGTTCTCTTTTCGGTTGAACAAAGAAAATGAAGTTGGACTCAACTTTCGACCCCCGGAATGCCATACGCATAGAATTATGAAGTGTTGTCTCTGTGTCATTTTCTTTAGTCTATCTGTAGGCGATGTCTTAATTACTTTTGTGAGAATTGTTTTTAAAATCAAGTTTTGCACTGCAACTGAATTCTACGAGCATGTAACGACTCAAAAATAAATTTTGCTAGATCACATTTTGTCCGAGCACTTTTTGTGCCGAATGTCTCCCTCTTTTAGGACACCCAAAGTTGCCGATCGACGGAAAGTTGTGAAGCTTAACATGAAACCTGCCGGGCGTTGCCAGAAAAATTGTAGGCGTAGCAGGCTAAGCCCTCGTAAAAATGGATCCGACAGCGACAACAGGCTCAAGTTTGAAGCACAGCTGAGGAGCCGCGGCCAGTGCGGCTGTTCGCCGGCCAGAACGTTTACGTCTTGTCATGATAATGATGACATCCTGGCCAGTCACGAAGGTGTCAGACGAAGGGGGATTAGGCAGAATGGTTCCGAAGCGACAGGACAGGAAACAATTTTCGTCTAACGGTCGGGGGACTTTTTGGACGGTGACACAGACTGTTTTCCAAGAGAGCATGAGGTATCTTTTTGCCCGAATCCTGGGGTATTAACAGTCAGTCTCGGTTCAAGACTGTTACTCCTACTCAACGCATTTTGAAACGCCTTTTTTTTCTTCTCTGGATTGTATTCTTAAACTGTGTTTAAGTGTACAACAGCCGCTGGATACAGACTGGATACAGACTTTGTTCCCCTTATACAGCCGGTCCGTGACAACAAGATGAATCAAATCCAATCTTGGCAATATTGGCAGCGCTACCCAGGACATTCCGAGCATACCCCACGTGCGCTGTATTCAAGCTAATGCATGCGCGTGAGGTATGCTCAGAATTTTCCTGGGTAGCGCTGCCAATATTGCCAAGACTGGATATGATTCATCTTGTTGATAGCGACCTCCACCGCCGCGGCAAAGTTAATCGCGTTTGTCACGGGACTGGCTGCAAAATAGAAAATAAAAAATTCATATCCAGTCTTGAATCAAGACTAATGTCTAAACTGATTTTGGACAACCAGGAGATGGAGGAATTTTAAATGGTTAAAAAAAAATAATTGGTATTTATCGCATTTTGAAACAAACTCTTTGTTGGTTGATGTACAGGGTGTTTCAAAAAAACGTTTACACTTTTTCAGACGCAGATTTCTTGGAATTGGGGAGACACGTTTAAATTGTTTCAAGATATAACTAAACTACACTATCTTCGTGGTAAATGGTGAAAACAGGGATGAAAATAAAGCCTAAATTAAGAAATGGCCATGGTTTAAAGAAAGATGGTCAAAAACTAGTTCGTCCACACGCAAGTCTGTGAGATATGGTCAACACAATAGCACTACACACACATAACTGCAATAATAAGCCTCTGTACTGACGATGTCACACTTTGTTTACGTGCGTGCTTTCCTAAATGGTGCTCAGTGGACCGTGGGCCCCCACTGGCTCCATAGGAAAGTGCACATGTAAACAAAGTGTGACGTCATCAGTACAGAGGCTTATTGTAATTAGGTCTACATGACTGTCATAGACCTGGACAAACTACTTTATGACCATTCTTCTGTAAAAGGCCGCTATTTCGTAACTTTGGCTTTATTTTCAACACCGTTTTCACCATATATCAACCAAGAACTGTAGTTTAGGAATATCTTAAAACAATGTCAACATGTCTCTTCAAGTTTGAACCCTGAAAATGTGTAAAGTGTTGTTTTTTACCACTATGTAGTTGCTCCAAACTGTTTCGAGTGACAATTTTTTTCATGAACTTGATTCTGATCTTGGAAACAACTTGATTTTGGTCACGACTCTAGATATGCCAGTCTCTGAAACGGCTGTTGGGCAGTACCTTGTTATCTAGGGTGGCAATGGGTGTTGGGTAGTACCTTGTTATAATCTAGGGTGGCAATGGGTGTTGGGTAGTACCTTGTTATAATCTAGGGTGGCAATGGGTGTTGGGTAGTACCTTGTTATCTAGGGTGGCAATGGCTGTTGGGCAGTACCTTGTTATCTAGGGTGGCAATGGGTGTTGGGCAGTGCCTTGTTATCTAGGGTGGCAATGGGTGTTGGGCAGTACCTTGTTATCTAGGGTGGCAATGGGTGTTGGGCAGTATCGATACCTTGTTATCTAGGGTGGCAATGGGTGTTGGGCAGTACCTTGTTATCTAGGGTGGCAATGGGTGTTGGGCAGTACCTTGTTATCTAGGGTGGCTATGGGTGTTGGGCAGTACCTTGTTATCTAGGGTGGTAATGGGTGTTGGGCAGTACCTTGTTATCTAGGGTGGCAATGGGTGTTGGGCAGTACCTTGTTATCTAGGGGGCAATGGGTGTTGGGCAGTACCTTGTTATCTAGGGTGGCAATGGGTGTTGGGCAGTACCTTGTTATCTAGGGTGGCAATGGGTGTTGGGCAGTACCTTGTTATCTAGGGTGGCAATGGGTGTTGGGCAGTACCTTGTTATCTAGGGTGGCTATGGGTGTTGGGCAGTACCTTGTTATCTAGGGTGGCAATGGGTGTTGGGCAGTACCTTGTTATCTAGGGTGGCAATGGGTGTTGGGCAGTACCTTGTTATCTAGGGGGCAATGGGTGTTGGGCAGTACCTTGTTATCTAGGGTGGCAATGGGTGTTGGGCAGTACCTTGTTATCTAGGGTGGCAATGGGTGTTGGGCAGTACCTTGTTATCTAGGGTGGCAATGGGTGTTGGGCAGTACCTTGTTATCTAGGGTGGCAATGGGTGTTGGGCAGTACCTTGTTATCTAGGGGGGCGATGGGTGTTTGGCAGTACCTTGTTATCTAGGGTGGCAATGGGTGTTGGGCAGTACCTTGTTATCTAGGGGGGCAATGGGTGTTTGGCAGTACCTTGTTATCTATTGTGGCAATGGGTGTTGGGCAGAACCTTGTTATCTAGGGTGGCGATGGGTGTTGGGCAGTACCTTGTTATCTAGGGGGGCAATGGGTGTTGGGCAGTACCTTGTTATCTAGGGTGGCAACGGGTGTTGGGCAGTACCTTGTTATCCAGGGTGGCAATGGGTGTTGGGCAGTACCTTGTTATCTAGGGTGGCGATGGGTGTTGGGCAGTACCTTGTTATCTAGGGTGGCAATGGGTGTTGGGCAGTACCTTGTTATCTAGGGTGGCAATGGGTGTTGGGCAGCACCTTGTTATCTAGGGTGGCAATGGGTGTTGGGCAGTACCTTGTTATAATCTAGGGTGGCAATGGGTGTTGGGCAGTACCTTGTTATCTAGGGTGGCGATCTCCTGCTGGCTGGCCGTTGACAACAGGAAAGACTTCATCTGTTCCTTGAGGGTATCGTCCTGTGGGAGACAATCAACAGGCTCAGGGGTTATTTCACGATATGCTTTAAGCACAGTAAATACTTGATTAGCAATGGCACCTTTTGTGATTACATGAGTATTTTCAAGAACAAAATTGCTACTTTACAATGTAAATCATTAGTATGCGTACTAAATTGTATTACATTGTATTTTTTTCCCCAGAAGAATCAATAAAACCATATAGTTCATAGGTGTTTTTTAGCCACTACCATAACTGGAAGGGCGGTTTGGGGTGGCACAGGGACTATGGCAGCGGCGTAACCAATGGGAGGGGGGGGGGGGGTGTTAGTCCCCCCCCCCCCACTGAAAATATTTTAGTAGTCCTTTTTCCATGAGCAGCCTTCTTTTCACCAAGGGTGGATCCAGAACACAATCAATTCCCCAAAAAGTGTGTCAACATTTTTTTTTTGGATTCTAGAGGGGGGCCATGGCCAAGTGCCCCTTTTTAACGTCGCGCAAACATTTTTTTTATTGTGCCGCTATGAAGAGCTCTACCTATTGTTTGATAGTGTCCGCTTTGAAGGGCGCCCCCATAGGAAGATGGTGTCCACCACCCCCCAACGACCTTAGTGTCCACTGAAGTAAAAATAAATATCCCGAAGCGAAAAAAAAAAATTGCGTCTAATGAGGCAAAACTGAAAGGCAAATCGACACGCTTCGATGCGTCGGTCAAGTCTGCCGACCGAGGTGAGAATTCTAGGCCAGGACAAGCCATATTTACACATCCGTCCATATTGACAAAACACCTGTGACTTTTGTGAGTTTTTTACAAATTTTTACTGCATTTGCTGCATCACATTTTCTCCAATTCCAAACCAGAAGTGACGTTCAAGTTGCTTCACCTGTGATCTTCAACATTATTGATTTTATTTTCTTCTCCTAACAAAAATTCAATCTGTCTGTTTTTTTATTTAAACTGAAAAACTACACTTTTCTTTTTTTACACGTTTTGACCTCTTTGAAAATACGCTTTTATTTTTGGGCTGCTTTCACGCCCATAATGCACAAAAAAAAATACGGTTTGATTTTTGGAAGGGGGGTGTCTTGGGGGTAAAAAACAAACTCAGCTCTGTCAAAAAATAATTTGTCATAGAAATTCAACAACAAAAAATGCAAACCACCCCCCCCCCCCTCCCACCGCCACCCCCAAAAATATACTTGTAATAATGTCCGCCTGTATACAAAATACGGACAGAGCCAGCTTGGTTAGGGGGTATTTGTATACTATTCTGTAATATACTGTTAATAATCGTCGGACTTGAACAGCGGCCCCATTGAAAGTATGGTACGACCCTTCTTTGTTGATGAAAAACCCCCCTTAAAAATTCCTGGATCCACCCCTGAAATCGAAAGTTGTAAATTATTTATTCCACAACTGAGCACACGATAAGTCTTTTCGTTGATGGTTCATTCAAAAGTGAATACATTTTGTATTGATAGAAACAATTTTTTAAAACAAAATCTATTTTTTCAGGGTGAAACTCGAAAAATAGCACAGGAAGTAAGAGACAAAAAACAAATCAACAAATTTCAACCCCAAAAATCAACAATTTATAAAAAAAATTGGGTGGGGCAAACCGGAGAAGCTCGTCACATTTGGAATTGTCATTAGTTTCTGAACCATGGACTGCAAAACAAACAACCGCAGGACTCGATCAGAACTATTTATACACCTAAAAAAAAAAAAAAAAAAAATTGTTTTTCCGGAAGATTGCAAATTTTTAAAGGCACTGCAGGCCAAGCGTAGCTGCACAGGCCGTCGGATAACTGCAGGATGACACCGATATTGGAAGCGATAGCTTGGGAAACAGAGCGTAGCACCTCCAAGCTGGGCAGGGTTTGCAATTATGACGACTGACGCAATGGAAAAAACACAAAAATGAAACCATTATCAGGACACGCGTACACAGTGCAATTTTAGCATCAAGGACGATGTTCATTTTTAAAACGGGCTTTGCCCTTCGCTTTAGTAATTCTATGTTGGCACTGTATACTAGAAGGCCAAATTACGGTCAGACGTCAAACGTTTGTCTACCATTCACTGACCATTAATCATTTTAGCCAAACAGTTTTCAAACTGAAAGGGAATTGTAAGTGCATGTGGCACCTAAAAATAGATCATTCTTTGTTTTTTTTATTTCACAATTTCAAGGATAATTACAAAAAGGGCAAACTCTGAGCTGAACTGTGAATGATCAGTTTGAAACTGTGTAGGCTTAGCCAGCGGAATTAGCGTTTCATAATTTCACTGTTACAAACACTCTTGCTCTCACTGTCCGGTGGGGGTTGGGGGGTGGGGGTGGGCCTAAGAACCAGTTTTTGGCATGTGAAATATTCGACGGCTAATGACCATATTTTTGATTAGCACTTTTAATGACTTGCTTGTCTGATATGCGAGAGTTTTTTTTTATTTAATTGGCCGAATGAGATAACATTCCAGGCAGTTCAAAGTTTCTTAATGGGGAGAAAATAAGTTATCAGAGACACAAAAAAATGTTCCCAGCTTCTTTTGTTTTACTTTGATTAGTCCACGACAACCACAAAGGTGATAAAAAAAAAATTATTTCTGATTGCAAGGATGTTTCTCTAGGTCATTGGTGGCCTTTTCCTATTTCTGTTTGTGGGCATGTATGACATAATACAAGTGGTATTGTAGAAGAAGAACTTAGAGTTTAGAATTGCTTCCATCTTGTGAGAAGTGGTTGAAAGACTTGGATGTAACACTTTGAACTTCTGCTCGCACTTTGCGCCAGCAAAACGCTGCTACAGTAGACCCGTCCTATCCGTCACTCAATCAGTGGGCAATGACCAATGACATCACCAGATTTTAGTCAGGTGACCACGGTAGCTCTGTAAAATTTCAGTCAGTGGGCGGGGTTTAGGGCCACATCTGGGATGGTCCATTGTTTTCAGCAAATGACTGCTGAACTTGGGGCCGTGGGGTCTGCCCACATATTTTGCATGAAGTGGTAGGGGGCAAACTCAGCTTGAGTCACCTTGATTTGCTCCATTTGGATTGCCAGTCTTCCCCCTTTTCTAGATAAATTCTTGAGAGATACGCGAGTGCGGGGGAGGGTGTCAAGATTTCAGCGTGGGAGTATTGCAGCCAGCTTAAAGCCTGACTGTCCGAGAGACAGGAAATGAGCGCTGAAGCACGGCAGGTGACTCCGGTCCGGATGCCGTCTACGGAGGGCTTTGACTTCACAAATCGCCGTGATTTTCTTTTCCTTTTTTCCTTTAATTTTGTGGTTAACGGGTGTACAATGCAGGGCTGGGGGGGAGGGGAGATGAGGAATCGGTGACAGAGGAGTGCTGAAATGAAAACACAGGAAAAGAGCCATGGATTTTGTTTGGCTAGAAAAATGGGTTTTGGACGAGAGGGAGGCAGGAATGATATCGGTGGCAATCTGGAAGGTCCATTGAGTCAAGGGTTTGACGTCATATAAGCTGCTTAGCATAACTCTGGACTTCTATCTTGTCAGTTGGCTATTATACATGCATGTAGATGTTATTAGTGAAATTGATTAGCACTTGCATTAATGCTTAGCCAAACTTATCTGCTCAGCTGTTAATTCTACTTAAGTAGACTTTTTATGGTGTGTGGTTTTTTAACACCTTTTTTCATTTCAGATGCCGTCTGGAAATACAAATCAGTGTTTGATTTTTCTGTATTTCTTTTGAATAACAGTTTTTAATTTTTTTTTATGGATTTCCTCTCAAATGTGGGATTTTGCACGAACTGTAAAATGGGTTAATTCTAGTCATGTATCAGTTACACATTTCAAGGCACTTTAATCTTTTTTTAAAAGTATGACCTTAAAAAAGAGTCGGTGATATTTTCCAAAATTAACTTTCGCAATTAGCCGTATCTGATGACCGGATTTCAGCAAATCAAACATGAATTTGACTACTCGGAGAAAACTCCAATGCAGCAAAAACTGTAACTTTTCCCTTAAAATTTCTCACTGGCATAATAGCATTGACAGAAAAGTTGGAGGAGGTATGTTTTCCGTGCCTTGTACTTTTACCTTGGGAATTAGCAACAAACTTTAAAGTGATCACCTCATTAAAAAAAAAAAAGACATCAGAGTTTCCTTCGGGCTACTGCCCATGTGGCCAATGCCCCGCAAAAAAAAACAAAGTCGGGCACATCATTAACCTTTTGTGTTTATCTACAATTTGTCTTGACGCTAATTGGCTCACGGCTCCACGGAACAGGTGATTCGCAGAAATAACCACCGCTCTGTTCTGTCTCCTCTTTCCTGCGCGCGGGGAATGCGCCGTCAATTTTGTTTCTTTCCCCTGAACGGTAATAGCCGGTGTCCGTACTTTCCCACCTGCACGCTAAATGATCGATTCCTGTTGGTTTGTACGAGATGAATGGACACGGGGCGCCAGTCAGTCTGGCTCGGTGGCGGTGAAGACACCTGCCAAAGACGGGAGGAGGGGGGGGGGGGATGTTGGGGTCAGTCAAGGGTGCTATTATGACTAGAGAGTGTCCTTGACTGGACAGGCTGAAGAAAGAAGAGTTAAAGGGATTCTCATATTAAAGACTCTGTGAATGCCATTGCTGGAGTGTGTCTGCACCCATACAAAGACCTACATAATAGAAGAAGCAAGCATAATCGAAGATTTAAAAATAAATCTCCCAAAAAAATGATGAGTAACTCTGTTGTGATAGTTGCTCGGATGTCCTGAAAAAAATAATATGCAAACTCACTACGTGTCATTAAAAAAAAAGCCAGCAAAAAAAACTGCAACAGAGGATGTTATCGATATAGCTTATGATCCAAAATGGGGGAGACATTTCAATCGCATAATTGGATGCGGCACTAGCGGTTGTTAACAACTGCTGCGCTGGATTGGTTGAAAGACTGTATGTGATATTGCATTGCGTACAGTCCGGTTACAGCAGGCTAAGGAGGGGGAGGAATAGGGGGTTTTTTGGAAGGGGGGATTTGGACTAAAAAAAAAAAAAAAAAAAAAATTCAAGGCCCGACTCTGTGACTCTGTTGCAAGCGGAAATCCTCACTTACGATAAGCGCCCCGAATGAATATAATTAATTTGGTGAAAATCATGTTAAAAGTTTCTGTTAACATAACCTCGTCAAAAGGGTGCTGCATGTAAGTATGGTTGTATTAAAAACAGATATGCAAGTCTTGAAACACACTTAGTTTGTGGAAATACTTTAAAGTGAAAACATAAACAAAAGCTTTGGTTCCCTTGGTCTGGGGACTTCAATAAAACCAAACAAATAACCAAAATGGAGAGTAGAATCCTCTTTAAGGTTCCGTTGCTTTGTGGGTCGGGTGACATCGGGGACAAAATAAAAGGGGAAAAATGCAACGCAGGATGTAAGAATAAGGGGCTACGCAAGCATTTCTTGCCCAGTGTCAATCCCCATGCTTGTCGGAGATAGCGTGCATCGAGGCGTGAACACCCATAAAGGAGAAAAATCATGAATGGGCAGCAACGCTGAAGACTATTGATCTGAGCATTAGGGACAGGTTCAACGCACGTTCATTGCCCTGGTGAGAGATACCGAGAGGGACCTTTTGGAGAGAGACGCAGTCTAAATGGGGGGGGGAGGGGTGGATTACGCTGAACAGAGAGACGAAAGGATCACAGTCTTCCCTTCCAATGCACAAATTTCACGAGCTGTTGGGGCGATGTCGGACAACCGGCGACAACGCGGCGCCACGAGCTTCTGCCTGAGGGCAACCTGTATGTTTTGAAAAGACGGCAGTCACTTCTATTTTTTGATTCACCATTTTTTTTTACAGTTGACGCAACATCCATAGAATGGCCAACTTGCCACGCCAGAAAGCCATTGATCTCAGATTGACTTGAAACAAACGGCCGGCATTCAAATCAACTTTGAAGAAATGGGCTGATTGATTTGTTTCCTGATCAAATTCATCCAAATTCATCCAGGAAATTGACTATGTATGCGGAAAAACTAATATCAGTTATGATAATTCCAAACACTCCAACGGCAACGGAAGTTGTGTACGTGCAAAAACTAAGTAGTCCTGACTTCCTTCGGATATTAAAAAAAAAATGCAGTCCTAAAAGTTTTGGATCACAAGCAAATATAAGTTATTCACAGACAGAACTCCATCTTCAAATCGTACGCCTCCAAGCAAGTGCAAAAACTGCCAAATCTGCAAACATACACAAACATACATGCCACTTTTTTGTCCATGAAAGAAGAATTTGTGCCAACACCTACTCTTGTTCTCCCTGTTGCGTGGTGCACTGCTGATATTTTTTTAAAAAAATTTCTATGCCCTTAGGGCCAATCTGTTGTGTTCTGAATGAGTAAGTTATTTACTTATGGACTGGCCGACTGAGTCACTGAGTGTCAAGAATGTCCCAAACCGCCACCGCCGTCAAACTCTCAGTTCCAGCTCGACTTGACAAGTGATTAATTCATGTCTATTTTGCTCGTGGACTGAATTTACTTACGACTTCCACATCGATGTCGTAGCAGGCCGTCTTCTTCTGCTCGGCCGTGTCCACATTGATGGTGTGTTGGATGACAATGGGGTCTGGGGCGTGAAGCAATTGGTGCAATCGCTGGGGTATCTCCGAAAACTTCATCCGCCCACAGTCAAAGATCTGAATCAGGAAGGTCAGAAGAGTAAACATTAAATCTGATTCATAAAGTTGACACCTGACATGCCTGAACAAATTTTTTTTAGAGCTGCAAGGCAGAAAACACTGCTTAGCCAATTGAAGTTCTGAGTGAAAATAAGTCGAGGGACCGATTAAATGACCAAAACAAGAAAACAACAATACCAACTTTCTACAAATATTCTGAGGGAAACCTGCAGGGTTACAACCAAAATAGTCTGGTGCCAATTATGGAGTCATAGTGATTTTGTGCTATGTTGCGGAGGAAACTAGACCAAGATGGCCTCCTCCACTGCCAAACTGCTGGAAGTACTAGTCATTGTTGATGTACTCTCTTGTTGGATTCCAGCAAGATCTAAATTAGTCTGGTGAAAAAGACTTAGTCATAGTGATTTGTACAACAAAATTGCGAAAACTAGACCAAGATGGCTTCCAATACCAAACTGCCGGGAGTACTAGTCATTGTTGATGTACTCTCTTGTGGGATTCCTGCAAGGTCTAAATTAGTCTGGTGCCAAAGACTTAGTCATAATGATTTGTACAATGAAATTGCGAAAACTAGACCAAGATGGCTTCCAATACCAAACTGCTGGAAGTACTTGTCGTTGTTGATGTTCTCTTGTGGGATTCTTGCAATGTTTCAATAAGTCTGGCGACAAAGACCAATTCACAGTGATTTGTACAATGTAGTTAAGGGGACCAGACCAAGATGGCTTCCAATACCAAACTGCTGGAAGTACTTGTCGTTGTTGATGTTCTCTTGTGGGATTCTTGCAAGGCTTCAATAAGTCTGGCGACAAAGACCAATTCATGGTGATTTGTACAATGTAATTGAGGGGACTAGACCAAGATGGCTTCCAATACCAACCTGATTGAAGTACTTGTCGTTGTTGATGTACTCTCTCTCGTGGGAGTCCTGCAGGGAGTGGGTCTTGATGTACTGCCACAGGGCGTTGATGATAACTGGGCGTGTCTGGGTGTGGACACCCAGTAGGCGTGCCAGGCGGGGGTCCAGCTTGTACTGGGGTGGCTGTGCAGGTGTGGCAAATGGACAAAAAGTTTGCGATAGAAGAATGAGAAGGAAAAAAAACTAGAGGTTAGCAACTTTCCGTCCCAGTTTGCATTCCTGCATTCTTCTGGAATCAATGTCGTCTCGAGTGACAGGAAATGAGGAGGGGAAGAGATTAACTAATCAATAAACACCTGTTGCTCTTATCAGAAAAAAAAACAATATATAAATAAATAAAAAACAAGTGTATTGGATTACTGACCATTTCAAGTTGGTCAGTGACCCTGATTCTTTGCGATGTAGGGGAATGCTTTGCCAATGTAAAGGAAAGACAAAGTCATTTCAATTAACTGAAGATTGTCTGGGGGGGGGGGGGGGGGGAGAGGAGGGTGTGACAACTGCAGTCATTTCTTTAAGAACCCGATTTTCAGAAAAGTACGGACTCAATGAACGGACTCTTTTTTGTCTGTCCGGAATGTGGTTTCGAATTTTGGTTTATCTTTGTATCATTATCTTTCCCTCAAATTGCTGCGATTTCTGACATGGCTGAGCCCCTTTTGATAACATTTCAGACAGTAATTAAAAGGTCATTAATACACAGCTATCATTTGATACCATTATTATCTGATACTTGCAAAAGAAATTTCCAAGCGCACTCAATTTTTTTTCAAGACAATGACCAGCATTTGAAAGATATCTTTCCCTGACAGAAGTGTTTACACAAGTGGGAAAAGCCCCTGATAGTTCGAATTTCGGATGGTTGAAGTATTACATTAGACAGTCATCAAAATACCAGACGACGAAATAATCATCTATCTGTATCTATCTGTATCACCGTTACTTCCAAATGCAAAAAGATTAATTAATCAAAACAGGAATGATGAATTTTGGAAACTACTTTCCATGGCCTACCAACCTCCCAGCCCAAATCTTCAAAGACGGGCCAGAGAAATCAAGATCATGTTTTCCCTGACAAAACAACAGAAAAAACAAACAGCGCTCGACAGCCGTGGAGACAAACGAGCTTGCGGACGGACTGACAAAGACCGTCAGCCCAAAAGGGAGAAAAAAAAAAAGAAAGGGAAAAGAGGGAAGGGGGGGGGGGGCATCAACAGAGGGTAATTTGGGCCGCTGGGGTCGGGCAACGGGTCAGGAAAATAGATCTATTGGGCTTCAACGCGCCCCTGATTTGGTAATTGATTGTGTAAGGGGGGGGCGGGGTTCATGGGGTCTTACAAAAGGGTCATGTTTGTTGGTTTAATGGCTATTTATTAGTGTCCCGTCCACCCGTTTTCAGGTGAACAGCCTCCAGACCCCTACCCCCATCTGGAGAAAAAAAAAAAAAAATAACAGAATAAAAAAGGATTGAATTTGGAAAGTAGAGATTTATGATTTCAATAAGGGGAATGACTTTGTGTATTTTTATTTTTTTAAATTTTGGTTAGTGACCAGCCGAGCAAAGACCGCCGGTACAGAATAACTCGGCCCAAATTCTTGTCCAGGAACGCAAAGGATTGTGGGTTAACGACACAACACTGACGTATCTATCATCACTTTGAAACCTGATAGATAATTGAGTTGGTAAAGCATTGGATTAGTAGCTAACATGGTCCGTATTCAAAGGCTTCAAACAGTATCACCCTTTAAAGGGAATGTACAACATTTGCTTTTGTTGCAGATTTCAGAAATAAATGAATTTGGAGGATATCAAGTATGTTAAAGCAAATATTGTTCAACTGACTTGTTTCACGTTTTGGCTTGTAGAAAAATATAGAAAACCAATCATGTTCTTGTAGTCTGGTTCCCTGACCCCAACTTAAGATGAAACAGAGCAGTTTGTAGACTTTGGGGAATTGTAAGGTCAAAGAATCAGTCTAGCAGGCTTGTACCCCTTCACAGGTGTGTAATCGATTGCAAAGAAAATGCGGAATAGCTAAATATGAAAAACTAGGAGCAGTTTTGAAAAAAGCCAGTTTTTTTCCCAACGCTGGTCGGCCGACCAGCGTTGGAAAAATACAGTTTTTCTTTGAAAATGTCAGCACATCAGGAGCCACAATTTTACAGGATGCTTTAGACTGTCATTCCCTAACAATTCAGTAAGGTATTTCCTGATAATTTTGATCATTTCGTTTTTTTGATGTTTGCAAATGTTGTATCTTCCCTTAAAGCCAAAAATACTGTTTTTGCATGTTTTAAACTTTGGCTCTCTCTCCAGCTTTGGATTTAGGCTTTGGCTCCATGAATTTTTAATAGGCTCAATAGATATAGACTCTCCGGCTCGCACAATCATCTGTAACCAATGGAAAGAAAATGTTACTGATGTGAGGCAATACTGAGTACTATCGTTTGATATTTGGCACTAAACAGGATCAAAATGAGCCAAAGCTGGAGCAGAGGCCAGAATTTTGTAAATGGCTGATGTCGCAACAAACCTGATGGTCCAGCAGAAGCAACAGCGTGCATTTGACGTTCTCGCTGCTGGTCTCTTGACCTGAAAACCATCTGTTTCCGTGGTTGTGCTTGTACGGTGCCACTGAAAAGGTGGAAGTTGGGGGGGGGGAGAGGTAGGAGAAGGGAAGGGGGCATGGAAAAATATAAAAATATTGCAGAAAGGATGGAGAAAAGGAAAGAATCAAGAGGGGAAAAAGATACAAAAATGTGTTATTTGGGTAACATGACACACACAACTGTCTCCATTAATTATTAAGTACAGTTAATATCTGTAGTGTTAGAATATTTTAATCCCCCCCCCCCCTTTTTTCAAGTAGACAAAAGCTTTACTGTTGTTGATATCTGATGTATAAGTTCTTAAAGATTGTAAATTTTGAGAGG